CAACCAATAAAATCATTGATTTTTAAAAATATTTTTTTCTTCCTCAGTTGTGGTTTTTACACATGAATGACCCAGAAAAATATTCCAATTTTTTACAGATTCTAATTCTTAGCACAGTCCACAAATATTTCAAAATAAAATGTTTAAAAACACTTTGCAAACATGTCTTTGGAGTGAATTCTGATGATTGCAAAATTCTTTTTATTTTATGTACCTTTACATCTGTCAAATATTCCTAATTGACCACTGAGAATATTTTATAAGTTCCAATGAAAAAATAATACTGATTTCTCAGTAATTTCATTATGTAGCTGATGTATACAAGGCTAAATGTGTGCAATTATATTGAATTATTGATTAAAATATCAAAATATGCTCTTCCCATTACCTCCTTTAAAAAAAAAAAAAAACTAAATCGGGGTTTATCTTAAATAAGGAGAATGACCTGAGATATATTTTATTGTGTTACCAGAGATAAAAATCTCTGGGGCACATCATTACACTAAAATGCTTTGAAGTCAGAAAGTAGAATAGCTCAAGAATTGGAGGATCAAATGCAAATTGAGCACATTATGTTTTGACATGAACAACATGTATCTTAAATACTTTAGAAAGTTATGAAAATATGCCCTTAGAACTCCAGATGAGACGAGAGAGATTTTAAACAAAGAAGATAAGGATAGTGCGATTCTTATTCCAAATTCTGGAATTATTTAAGTATGACACTGTGGTATTTGTTAACAGTACAGCATAATTTCCTTATTTATCCATGGTTGGAACCCAGTATTTATGATAGATAAGAGAAGTCACCTGCTAATAGTCATAATCCTCTCCTCTTTTAAATTGCGGGAGCACATTTAAATTCTTAATTTTCAGGGAATATTTTACTTACTGCGTGTTAGAAGTAACTCTCAAAGACTGCACTGGTGAAATATTATTATAAATTTTAACAGTTATACATCTTAATCAGCTGAAGATCACCTTGCAATTCTCCATATAATCCTTATAAAACGTTTTATGGCCAAAGATAAAATATGTTCCACTGTTCTGCATTTGTTCCAGTCTTAAAAATTAATCTTTTTTGCAATATTAAGTTGAATAGAAAGCATTACTCTTGTTGCCTACCTTACAACATTATAACTTAAGGCGTTTGCTGCTCCACAAGTTCTTCTTCCAATGGTTGATTTAAGACCAAGTATTTTTACCACCTTTACAGAAATTCATAAATCTTCACACTCTGAGTTGACTACAGTGATCAAAGCCATTAATGACAGAGCACGTAAGAACTGGAATGTGTGCAGATCATCAAAATTTGCTGCCAGTTCCCCACTGGATTATTTACATGATCATGCTGTCTAGAATTTCTCTGGCACCTGTCTCTTTTTCATTATTCCTCAAGCAAAATCCACAGTCTATGCTCTGGTCGTCTTTAATCTGTACTGTTGCAGTCTACTGTACCCTGCTGCTCATTCAGGGACAATTATCCTCAGGTCAGTCCTGCATGGCCCTCCCAAACAGTCTTTTTTTTTT